GCATTTAGCGACTATCGGGGTGAGGGCCACTGGCCGATAGTCATTCAGACCAGTCACTGTAGAGCTTTTTGGGACTGGGATGATGGTGGCAGTCTTCAGGCAGGTGGGAACTGTCTCCAGGGTAAGTGAGGAGTTAAAGATGTCTGCCAGCACCTCACAGAGCTGATCAGCACATTCCTTCAACACTTTTCCGGGGATGTTGTCTGGGCCAGTTGCTTTGTGCGGATTAATCCTCCTGAAGGTACTCCTTACTTCTGCTGAGGTCACGCTGAGATGCTCTTCATCCGGTGGCGAGGTGAGTCTGGTGCTGGGTGGTCTGTTCCGGTCTTTAAAGCGTGCATAGAACTTGTTGAGGGCATCAGGCAGAGATGGGTCTTTGGGGCATTGTTCACTCCTTCCTTTATAATCTGTTATGCACTTAATGCCCCTCCACATGCTCCGAGGGTCTTGTGAGATGAATTGACCCTCGATCCTCTTTGCATATGTGGCCTTGGCCCTCTTAATACCAGCAACCAGCTCTTTTCTTGTCCTACTCAGCTCCTCTGAGTTTCCAGACCTGAAGGCAGTGTTCCTGGCTTCCAGCAGGGTACGCACCTCTGCATTCAGCCAAGGTTTTCTGTTTGGGTAGCTTTTAACATTTCTGATAGTGGAGACGGTGTCAATACATGTACTAATGTAACCCAGAACTGAGGATGTGTATTGGTCAAGATCAAGCGAACCTCCATTTTCAGCAGCTTCTCTGAAAACCTGCCAGTCTGTTCGATCAAAACAATCTCTCAGTATGGGGCCACTGTCCTGGCTCCAACATTTAACTTTCTTTTGTACCAGTCTGGAGCGTCTCAGCGGGGGCATGTAAGCAGGAGCCAGGAAGATTGAGATGTGGTCTGACAGTCCTAGGTGGGGGCGGGGTTCGGCTTTGTATGCAAAGTGTGACCGACGTCATGTTTTTGGGTCCTGCTTGGCCTCAATGGAACCGCAGAAGTAGGTACTGAAAAAACAGGTTGTTTCCACGAAGAAGGTCCTGTGGAATAGAACAGAACCGGCCTGAGCAGAATTAAGCAGGGCCAAGGTGGAACTGTGGAAAGGGGGCATATGAAACGTCATCCAGTAGCTGAATCTTCCCAACAAGAAAGCTACACATTATGCCGGAGCGGGCTGGGCACAGATCCAATGAATGGTGGATGCCCGTGGCTTAACCGGAGCATCTTATTTATGTACAAAATTATGTTTTATCTTATAGTTACTTTGCACTGCTTAGAGACAGGTACGTTCTATAGCCTGAGAATTAAGGTAATGATATGATGAACGACTAGAACTGATGGACTTTTGGGGTCAATCAATAAGATGACTGCCACATTTAAGCAACCTTGGTCAATACATCAAGAGTCCCACATACGGCAAGTTATACACCCATCGACAAACTATTAAATAGCAATATATAGCAATGGCTCAGACAAGCAAAGACCATGTATAACCTTTGACCTTGATTTGTGACCTTGAACTTTTAGCTGAGTAAAGGACAAAACACTCCGTCTAGTGATGGTGTATTTGTGTATGAAGTTTCATTGAATGGTCTTGAGCAGATCAGAAGCTTTAGACAACAGAAAGTTTATAGACCTAGACTATAGCACATGTCCGCTTTTCGACAGCCATATGAGAACCTAACTCTGACCTGAGCATTTTTATAGATAACCAAATTTTGATGGAACTGAAAGTTTTTTTCATTTTATTCATCACATTGCGAGTTTTTCTAATCTCATGTAGCCCTACTTCTAACGGAACCTAGCCAGTTAAGGGAGCAGTGCGACTGAAACGTGCACGTGGACCAAATACCTCTCTTCCAAATGGTAGCCAGAGAGTACTTCTCTGCAAAGATCCTCCGTCCGATGGCTGGATGTGTCGAGCGTTGGGTCGCACACAGATGAAGCAGGTTGTGAAGCAGAGTGTTGCTAAAGAAAGAACACAGAAAGTGAAAGAAGTTGTCAGTGTTGGTCAAAGGTTATGAATGTTTTTATTATTATGGCTGAAAACATTCTTCTCTTCTGTCCTGAGAACAAAGAGCTCAGTTGTTTCCCAAAACACTATCTTATCTCTGCCTATGAACCATATGTTTGTTACATGTGGTTTCAACAACATGTAAAGTTACAGTCAATGCCAACGCAGAAACGCAGGAAAAAACAGGTAAAACATATGTGTGGTTAAGCCCACAGATGGGGTTCACCTGGTTTCTAAGGCAAGCCACAATATGAAGTGCCTGACCGTGCACTGAATCAATTTAAGAGTATAAAGTTGCTCCGTGTTTGACTGCAAGGAGAGAGGACCGCAGCCATCCTCCTCTCAGCATTTAAAGCCCCCAGTATACTCCCACGTACGTCCATACGCAGAGGTACGCAGGATCGTATGCGGAGGTACGAGCGTACCCCCCAGGGCATGTCCGTGCAAAGCTCAAATTTTTACGACAGCGTACGCGGTGTCGCACAATAAACTGCCCGGCGACGGACTGTTTTGTATGCGACACCAATGTATTAAATTCCCCTTCTTCATCCCTGATCTGGCCTTTTCTTTTGTTTTTGTTTTTTGCCAAGAGGCAGTGATCTCTTCCTCCTCCGTTGATGCCATGACTGAAATGGTGAGAAATGAAGGAATTTGTCACGAGCAAATTAAACTCAGGTCTAGCGTGGCTGCGGGAGGATCTGGAGATTTCCTGGTGGGCTGGTCTGATGTGTGGGCTGTAAAGCCAGCGCTCCCTGATTTTTAAAATTTTTTAGATCTTTTTATTAACGACATATAAACACAGAACACCGCTGTGGCTGAGACTGCCAGCGCTCGCTTTTTTTCTTTTTTCCGATCTGTCAATCAATCCAGTAGGCGTGTCAGCAAATGACCAATCGGCGACCTCAATTTGTCCCGAAGGTAAACGCCCCTTGTCTGTGAAGCTGCTCTGCAGCTGCTCTGCAGCTGCTCGGGGTGTACGCTGGAGTACAAAGTCTCAACCCTCCTCTGCGTACAGTACACGCGTACGTACGCGTGAACAGACGTACGCAGCAGTATACTGGGGCTTAAGTCTGTAGAGAGTGTTAGAGCCTGAACAGCCCGATTCAAAATCTCCATGACCGGATTCCGCTTTGTACCGAGGACGGCGCAGTGTCTGGATTTCAGCGGGTAAGTTTACATTTGTTAACGTTACTGTAACTTAATACGTGCATCGTGCTGAGTTAAACTAGGATCCATGTAACGTAAACTTTAAGGTATTAGTGTGTATCCAAAAAAGTTCAATCTGGTCCTCTGGACATTCAAAAAAAACAAAAAAAAAAAAAACAGCAAAGCAAAAAAATCTAGAAACGTTTCGTCTCTCATCCAAGAGACTTCCTCAGTCTGAGGTGCTGTTTTCAGCTCAGTCTCTTAAATAGCACCGTCTCAGAGTGGATCAACCAGTTTGCTGCTGACAACCAAAACCAGCTGATCACATGCTCAAGAAGGACCATCAGCCTAACAATGGATCATTAGCACCTGATGGCTGTTTACTGTTCACAGAGGGCTGAGTGATACTAGCAATCACAGCATTGTAAGAGGGGGACAGTTGAACCCGGAGGCCTCCACCCCTGTTTAATGATGGACGGTTTCTTTTCACAAAGATGGCCTCCTTTACTCCTCTCTCAAACCATCGTTCCTCTCTGTCCAGGATGTGAACATCTTCTTTCAAGGATGAAGATGGAGGATATTCTGCATTTGACACCTTGGATCAGAGCAGCGTGATCCTACCTGTAAATGTTCTTTCTCGGCCGGGGATCTGTTGTGTCCCAGAAGCGGGCGTGTCTGATAGCATTCTTCACTCGCTCGTCTTGATCTGGAAGCTGGTTCTCGGGTATCTCAGCCAATGAGAGGAGGGCAGGGGGTAAACCAGGGATCACCTTGGATTTGGTCAACCAAGCAGCCTGACGCACACCTGAGACAAAAAGAGGTGGAAATTTAAAGAAGAAAAAAAGAAAAATCATCCATCCTTGTTGTGGTGCCCATAAAAATGATAAAATAAGATCAAAATTTTGCTTTGATAGTGCAGCTTTGTTTTATCAATTAAGAAGGCCAAAGTTAATGCCAAGTCAGCATTCACACATGGTTCTTGTCTCTTTTGTAGGTTTTTTTGAACCAACTACTCAGGGTACTTTAAAGCAAATTCAGCTATTCAGATATCATACTTGTTCAACACATAAAAGCTATAACTTTCATACTTTAATTATTTGATTTTTTCCATACAGACGTGAAAATGCTTCTCTTTCGTGTTCTTTGAAATCAACTTCACCGTACCGGTACTTGCATAATTTTTATATTTTAGCTTTTGTTTTGATGACTTGAGCTTTTAGCCAACATTTTGCTCATTGTAGATTTTAGATACGTTTTTGCTACTTTTAGCTTTTAGCTATTGTTTTGCAGGTTTTAGTTTTAGTTTTGATTGATCTGACTTTCACAACTCCGTTTCAGCTTATTTAGCAAAAGTACATCAGCACCCAGTGCATTTTGGAATAAAATGCCATATTTTTCTACTAACTGCCTTCAATCTTCTCAACAACCTAAACAATTCAAAATGCCTCCAACTCCTCTGAGCTAAATAAATTATTATAAAAACATGAAATGCTCCCATCTTTAAATTGTTCAAGTCTAAAAATCTCTGACAGATGACAAAGGCGTGGTGGTGTTACTTCTGCACCGCTTTTAAGACAAGATATCAACAAGGATGCAGATATTTGTTGCAGCTGAAGAGCCAGCAGCTTATTTGTCCTATTTTTTGTTCATAAAATGTGGATCTCGAATCCAGGAAAAGTTAGGTGGTCTGCAGTGGAGTGATAAGACCACATTCAGCTCACAAAGATGTTCGTTTTGACGTATCTGGCTGGTGTGCATCTTCTTTTTCAGCTTTTCCCTCTTCAGGGTCTCCACAGAGTGTCCTCCTCCATCTACTTCTGTCCTACAGTGACTGGTTTGAATGACTATCGGCCAGTGGCCCTCACCCCGATAGTCGCTAAATGC